TATGTTTGATTTTGCTGGCCATGCTGTGTTTTGGACCGTGTTTGCTCAGGTGCATAGCTAGTCAGATAAAGGACTTTGGGACTGAGCTTCATATGCTCTGTCTCCGTCAAAAACAAAAAGGGGGAGTTGTTAGGGATCTGTAAGGTTGTAGAGGGCCACAGGCTGTTCATGAGGTCTCACTGACAGGCGGATCTCTGAGCAAAGGTCGCCTGGTTCAGTGCTCCATTGTATGGATCTTTAACAATCTTTAACTCCCCTAGTTATTGTATGGTCATTAGCAAATCTATTCTGGGATTGGAGTCAGATAAGTGCACAGGACGTGCATGCACTCTCCTTGAGCACAGCATGGGCTATACGTCGTTGTAACTTGAGAAAGAGTTCCTGTTATTTTACTATATAAGTAAGCGCTTTGCTAAAAATAAACGGAGTTGCTTCCATCCTGCCTCCCGCCTCATCAATGTGCATTCGAGATAGAAAATCAAGCTGGTCTTGATTCATCAGGTGATTGGGAAATCCTAGGCCCTAGGCAGGCTCTATAGCCAAGTGAACTAGTTGTGCACAACAAGTCTATTGTTAGTAGAGATGACTTCATTCTTGGTACTCCTAAAAATCTCCAGAACCTAACAGTGTCTGGCATATAATAGGTACTTCATACTATTTTAATTATTGCACCCAGAGCAGAATATAAGTAGGTAGGGAGAAAGAAGGCAGATAAAGTATGGTTGGGTGGTTTGGGGTCAACCATATATAGCAAGCTCACACCAATCAGCCTAGCATACATCCCTCCCCCAGCTTAAAGGTCTGGTAATGAAAATACCTGAGGAAGGCAGGGTGGATTAGTAGGAAGATGACAGTGAATCATTAAAACAGTAAATAATTGCAACAAGAACCATGGTGCTTTTCCTATGCAGAATATTTAAAAAAGACTTATAGGAACCTCCAACTTTAGAGCCAGAGATCACCCAGTTCAACACTTTCCATTTTGCAGTTGTAGAAACTGAAATCTAGAGGTTAAATTGATTTAACTTGTGCCAAGACACAATGTTTTAAGTGGGAGAACTAGAAATACTACTAAATGAAAACAAAGCAATGATAAATTTAGATCAATCAGTCATTCATTTAACAAATATTTTCTTTAGTACTTCCAAGCCAGGTACAGGGCTAGGAACTAAGCGTACAAAGACAAAAATGGAAAACGTCCCTGTCCACCTGAATGATTGATTGATCTGGTATTTATGTTCTATCAGAGTTCTAAAAGTAAAATACTTAAAAACCATGTCCAACTCCAAGCAGATAAAGTCATTGTTAATTTATTCTTTCATAATTCTTAATACTCCAGAATTAACAATGGTATACAATTGTAGGCATATCACCAAACTGTGTCTGGCAAGGCCCTGACATTACACTGGAAATGTGGGTGGAAGCAGGGAGGAGGAAACACAACATATACATACTTAAATATATATAAAAGATATATACAAAGTAAATACAATATTGTTTTGGACAGATAGGCACTAGCAATTGTGAAATCAGGATGGGCCTCTTATAGGAGATAAAACGTGAACAGAGCCTTGAAGGAAGCTAAGGATTCTCCAAGGCAGAGATAAGAAAGGCAGCACCAGCCTAAGGACCTGAGTTCAAATCCAACCTCAGACACTTGATACTTACTAGCTGTGTGGCCCTGGGCAAGTCACTTAACTCCACTGCCTACCCCCCCCCAAAAAAAAAAAAACAGAGGCAACAGGGAGAGGGCAAGCGTCCTTCCTGGGTTGTGGAGTGACATGGTCAGACATGCTTTAAGAATATGAAGTTATATGGAGAACAGATTAAATAGACAGAGGAGGTGGAGGTAGAGATACCTATTCTCTGGGTTTAAAACTCACATAGTAGTTCTCAGCTATTATACAACAGTTGTGAATGTGCTATGAAGTTCCTCATAGTCACAGGAAATCACTATTTGCCTCACATTTCCAGAAGTTAGTTAATAACATGCAATGAGCATGGCAGAGGAGATTCCTGAAATAGTCCCATAGTTCTTTCATACAGATTGGGAGTTTAGGGTCTTCCCCACTTGTTACATGTGTGACCTGGGAACATGTTAACTTCTGCTGCCTCTTGGTAAAAAAGCAGAAAATACAAACTTAAATGTTAAAAGTTCTGTCACATATAAGCTAATTAATGAGAAACTAAACATCCTGATTCTCTCTTTACTGTTTCCTTTACTAAATAAACCACATATTTCTCATGTGGTCACACTGGAAAGAAAGCTTTTTTTATTCTTGTAAAATGACAATTCTGTTTATTACAATAATGCCTCCTTATAGTTACATCAAACTTTTACTTAGATTATCTCACTCCACTTCACAGCTGACCTATGAGATAGGCAGGTCAGGTAATATTATCCCCATTTTACAGACATGGAAACAAGCTCAGAAAAATGAAGTAACTTGCCCAACAGGTCATAGTTAATAAGTGGCAGTGCTAAGATTTAAACCTGTTTAGTGTAGCTGCTATTACAACACAATTTTTACAGTTATATCCTACAATCAAAACAACCAGTTGATAAGTTCATCATGGCAAAGTTCACTAAAGAAGACTAACAAAATCTCAAAATTCAAATCAATAAATATTAAACATCTGTTATGTGCAAGGCACTATATTAAGTACTGGGAATAAAAAGACAAAAACGAAACAGTCACTGCCTGTGAGCTTATATTTATGCTGGAAGTGCACAATTCTTATACACCTATGTATGTGTATATAAAGTAAACCAAGGAAGGCAAAAGTATTAAAAACCATGGAGGTGGGGAAGGAGAGAGAACACTAAAACAGAATTTATGTAAACAGTGGTCCCTGACCTGGAGGAAAAGGCTTCTAGACGGTGGCATGGGAGAAGCAGGGCACACCTAGGTACGGGGGCATCTCGTATGTCCTGAGACAGATTCTAAAAGCAATTTGCAATTATACCTCAATTAAACTTCCTTTGACCCAGTGGTATCACTAGTAGTCATATGCCCCAAAGATATTAAACACAGAAGGAAAGGACCCATATTTACAAAAATATTTACAGCAGCATTTTTTGTTGTAGTAAAGAAGTGGAATCTAAGGGGATGTCCATTAACTGGGGGAATAGCTGAACAAATTCTGGTATAAGGATATAATTGTACCAAAACAAATGACAAAAAAGAATGGGTTCAAAAAAATCAGGAAGGCATTTATGAACTGCTATGCAATGAAGTGAGCAGAACCATAACAATTTATATTATCATATCAAAGAAAAACAGCTTTGAAAGTCTTAAGAACTCTGAGCAATACAATAACTAGCCGCAACTCCAGAATACAGTGAAGCATGCTTCCAACTTCCTAACAAAAAAGTGATAAACTAAAGGTATAAATTAATACATATATTTTTCAACATAGTCTATGTGTGGATCTGTTTTGATTGACTAATTTGTTACAAGAAAGTGTTGGGGTTTTTTATTTTGGGGAATTTATATTTACATTTGAGGGAGAAAGGAAGCTGGTTATAGTGATAGCAAAAAATGAAGAAAAGAGCATCAATGAAGCACTGAAGAGAATGCACAGAAGAGAAAGATGAAGGTTCAAAAGGAGACACAAATAAGCAAGATAAATTTTAAACTATTTGAATGTATCATATACTTTAAAAACAAGTATGACATAAAAAAGATTTATGATTTCATGTGCAGTCTTATGTTCTGTTCTTCTTTGTGCATGGGAATTTTCCATGTCTTGGCATTTGTCAAGTTTGGAATGAAAAAAATAATTTTTTTAAAAGCTAAGAAAGGGGCAGCTAGGCAGCACAATGGATAGAACACTGGCCCTGAAGTCAGAAGGATCTGAGTTTAAATCCAGCCTCAGACACATAACACTCACTAGCTGTGTGACTCTGAGCAAGACACTCAACCCCAATTGCCTCACTAAAAAAAAAAAAGCTATGAAAGTAAATTAGGAGGACATAGGGATACAGAACATCAATAAGCTTGTGAAAAAGTACATTCGAATCAATAAGACTTGGCAAGTGGTGGTGTTGTTTATCACTTTCAGAGAGGTCCACTGACATCACAGGATGATGTCTTGACTCCTGTGTGAAACTGGATTTAAGTGAGGTAGAGCTGCACAAAACTGTTGGCCTCATTCTCTCTTCCATCATTGAAGTTCAATGGCAAAAAAAAAAAAAGGCAGGAGAGCTGGTGACGGCCTGGGATGCAGAGGACTACCTTGGCATCTTTGACGCATGACCAAGCTCTAAGCGCTCCACAGTACCTGCCTTCAGCCACCTTCATGGCTACTGGAACAAGCTGTTCTCATCTGCCCATTCTGCATGGGAGCAAGCCTTCACATGCTTGGGATAGACATCCCCCTCACTCACCAACAGGCCAATGGGTTTGAGGCCTGTCTGTTACCCTTGAGCTGGTTTAGCTCCTTCTGCCTAGATGGTCTTACTGGGGTATGGCTGCTGCACATGCTACAGATTCTTGGAGCCACAGTTGAGAGTTGGGTGACGGTGAGCACCAAAGGTAGATGAACATCCCTGAAAAGGGCTTGGCAAACCCTCACACAAGAGGTGCTGGTCCTCTTTGATCAGCCCACACATTGGTAGGGGGTGAAGGAAAAGGAAGAATAAAGAACGGTCTATAAAGTTATGAACTTGATGGTAATCTCAACACAACTACAGAAGTATGGAAGAGATGGATTTTGGTGAAAAGGGGTGGGAGGGAGAAGACAGAAAAAAATTTATCATACCCTCCAACAGCTAAATAAGATACTCTCAGATTCTTAGCCATGAGGTATTTGGAGGCTTTCCCATGCAAATGCAGAGTATGCTGAACTTTCTTTTAGAAGTCAGAAATATTCAACAATTCACATACATAATCAGATTGTCATTTGAGATGTTATTTCAGAAGTTTAAAATTTTTAAAGAATCAAATGATGTTGATAGCTTAACAGATGAAAAAAATCAATAACCATGCTACACTGTATAATGTGAGTTAAAATATATTAGTACAGAATCAGCAAGTTTTTTTTATTTTCCAGAGTACTTGAAAAATGTATCTTTTTGTGGTGAAAAAAAATTAACAAAGGTAAGAATGTACTAATGATGGCAATGTTGGAAGAAGTCTAGTATTTTCTTTGCATTTGTTGTATTCCATGATTGTCCTTTCAGTGGTCCTTCACAAATAGATATATACTTTCTTAAAATCTTTTCTCCTATTTCTCGAAAATCCAAGGATTCTTTGAGTGAAATTCTGCTTGTCCCAGGTCCATTAGTGTCTATGTCACAATTTTCTGGCTCTTCATTTACACAATATTTCAGTCCCCAATAACACATTTCTCCACTGTACATCATAGCCAGCAAATGAGTGTCACTGAACACACCTAGAAAAATCATTTAGGTTGAGATTATAATTACAAAATTAAACTTTTTAATATTTCCTTAAAACTTTCTGTAATATATTTTTAGTCCTTCCCATTTACAACAAAACTTCAAATAACCACAATTTGATCAATCAAAACACTCAACTAAAAAGGACCCACGTGTACAAAAATATTTATAGTAGCTCTTTCTGTCGTGGCAAAGAACTGGAAATGAAGGGGATGCCCATCAATTGGGGAGTGGCTGAACAAGCTATGGTATATGAATGAATGAATGTTGTGCTATAAGAAATGATGAACAGGCTGACTTCAGAAAAACCTGGAAAAACTTACATGAACTGATGCTGAGCGAAATGAGAACCAGTTCCTGCACACAATAACAGCCACATTGTTCGATGACTGACTGACAGACTTAGCCCTTCTCAGTAATGCAAGGATCTAAGACAACTCCAAAAGACTCATGATGAAAAATGCCATCCACATCCAGAGAAAGAATTTTAAGAGTCTGAATGCAGATGGAAGCATACTATTTGCTCTTTTTCTTTTGTTGTTTTGGTTTTGTTTCTTCTTTCTTACGGTTCCTTCCATCAGTTCTAATTCTTCTTTACATCATGACTAACGGGAAAAATTAAAACTCAAAATCTTATGGAAGTGAATATTGAAAACTAAAAATTAATTAATCAAAAAAAAAGAAAGAAAGCAAAAGCCCATCTTTTTAATTAAAAAAAACCCAGCTAAATGGCATTCTTTTCTCTATATTTCATTTTTGGAAAAGGTATATCACAATACAACAAACTGTCAGAGCTACATATTTTTATAAAATTTCCAAAATATACAAAGTTCAGCCCAAAGTCATACGTTCTCCTTCTGCAACACATTATGCAATGCACAGATGTTTAAAATCATTACTTAGAAGGTTTTCAATGAAAAAAAAATGTTTTTGCCATGTCCAATATACTTTATTGATTATAGCAATAAAAGGCATTAAAACATTATAGAAATGTTTTCAGCTAAGGTTGATGAAACAAAAACAAGTTTATAAATTAACCAGAATATCCAAATAACTGAACCTAGATAAAGTTTTCAAGTATAAGTTAACTGTTGTTAATAATAAAGGTCTGATAAATTATAAGATGAAATATAGTTAAAAAAATTCAATAAACATTTATTAAGTACCAGCTATGTTTTTTGTATGTTTACATTATTAAGTACCAAAAAACACAATGAAAGGCACTAGGGGTATAAGACAAAAACAAATTAGTCTCTACTCTGAGGTTATATTCCATTGAAGGGATATAATACATATAGAGATAAGTAATAAATGGTAACTTGAGCAGAGAGAGCACTAATAACTGAGGGGATTAGGGAAGGCTTCATAGAGAGTGTGGCACCTTAAAGGAAGATAGACAGGAAGAAGTACATGTCAGGCAGGCAATGTTTATAGGGGCAGAGAAGGACCAGTAGAGATGGAGACTGAAGATGAAAGAAGGAATGACTGATTGGACAGAAGCAAGAGATATGATCAAGTGGAGAAGAGAACCCTGGCAAGGAGAACCACTTCTTCCTAAGAGACTAAGCAAAGGAAAAGAGATGAAGATGGATAAAAGAGGAGAAATTACAGAGATGGTAATGGATGGGAGGCAAAATTATCTACTGAATGGGATGAGAAAGAAGTACCTGAACAACAGGCTTAGAATAGTCAGTACAAGGAGAATAGAGAGCCCATCACGGAAGAATAAAAGGATCTCCATGAAGCACTGAAGACCCAATTAAGATTAGACAACATGAAGCTGTAGTAGACCCAATCTTCATAAGCAGAGTGACTTCCTCCTATAGCATTTAAGGGGAAGGCAGATGGTAGAGATGATTGTGGGTTGCGAACTGACAGAGAATGAACAGGCATTAGGGGGTCCAACAGTAAAGTATACAGTACATAGTTTAACCTGTTAGATATTGGCTCAATAAGGTGAAGAGAGGAATGTAAGACCAGAAGAGAGGTAATGGACAAAGAGAAAAGGGAATTACAGTGGGACTAGAGGTTGATGTAAGGTTGAAGAACAGGCTTACAAAGAGTGAGGCAAATGAAGATGGAAGGACAGGGGACTATGGTCTGAGGGGAATTTTCAGAGTTCAGGAACCTGAAAATGGCACAGCCTGGGGGACGGGGTGGAGGAGGGAGTGGTGGCGAGCTCTAAAGTATGATCACCCATACAGGTGGCCAAAATGGAATAAAGATGTAGGTCCTATAAATTGAATTAACTATTTAGAGGCAGCAAATTTGAAAGATTCATGACTTCATCATTGCAGTACAGACTACATCCTCCTCAAAGCTAAGCAGGCAACAGCCGCAAGTTGTGGTCAAAAATGAGGCACCTCCTAATAAGCTTCTCTGATACTAGGCTGGCTCTCTAGCACTCTGCAGGTAGAGCCTTTGAAAGCTAAGGACACTTCCATGCATCAGTGAGGCACTGAATAGGACTCTACTGGAGGCAAAGGAACTAAAGTTCAGTCAAACAGAATATCTTACTTTACCTTAAAATAGACAGGCAGGATGCTCTCACTTAATGTGGAGATTAAACGACTTGCCCTAGTCACATATCTAGTAAGTATCTGAGCTATAACTTTTCTGTAAAAAAGAGTAAAGTCCTTTTGAAAAAAGTACTGTCAATAGTTTTCTCAATTAACTGTTAGGCAGTTCAAGGTAAAGATCTCTTTAAGATTTCTGATCTTAGAGAGCACCACCACATAATGTAACAAAGACAAATGAAATTTAATATATATTGAACTTGGGAGTCTTACTTTAGACAAATTGAAAATATGAAAATCTATTTTTATACAATAATAAATCAGGACATAACTATTCACTTGAAATGGAGGATAATAAAGTCTGGCTTTAAAACTTGTTATGCCTTATAGAGAACTGCCAATTGTGAAAGACACAATTTATTAAATATTATTCCAAATTCACAATCTGTAGAGTAACATTTTAAAAACTAATGGTGAATGCTAAGCCTCAGTTTCCTCATCTATAAAATAAGGATGTAACCAGGTATTATGAGGGCAATACTTTGAAAACCTTAAAGTTCCAGATACATGTGGGCTATCATTATTACAAACATCACTTATTAAAGTCCATGTAAAAGGAAACTAATTCATCCTATTTTCCTTTCTTTAATGAAAAAGCCCACACATCCGATCTAAATATCTAGTTCTCACAATTTAAGAAAACCATTTATAATTTCAGAGATTTCTCACATTATGAGAAATCTCTCATCTTCAACTAAATCCTAAGAAAAAAATAATACTTTTCACACCTCACATCTAAGCCTAACTTTATACATCTGGTTCTCAGTGAAATCTAAAAATGCAATATCTACAGAATTTTTAAATTTTAAATCAACACATAAAGATCATGTTACCTGCACTAAGTAACTTAGCTGTGTCTATGTCTTGAAAAGAAACATCTTCATTTAGTTGAAGAGGGCATCGAAAATTTAACATCTTTAGCAAGTAACTGATTCCATCAATGAGACACTGAAAGAAAGCAGAGAATTGTATGTTACATGCAAAGTCACTAAAACTTAAGATATCAACTTTTGTTCATGCTCATTTTAATGGCATAAAGTCATCTGTCATTGCTCAAAATATCCATGATATATAATGGCAGAAAAATAGCTATCACCATTACTGAAAAAAATGTTAATACTTCTATCAACAAAAAACCTACACCCAGCAAGACTGAATTCTGTTGAATCAACAAACTTGGTGCATTCTGACTTCCAGGATTTATGGCTATGCCAGATCCTTTCCAGATAACTGTTTCTAAACATATATATACCAATTACATGAATATTAATGTATCAACCATCAAATCAACAAGTACCCAGGAAATAGGTTTGTTCACAACAGCAAGATTTGACACAACACTTGGCACACTCCTTAAATAAGCAAAACCACACAATCCTAGGGCTAGAAGAGACACTGAGAAAACCAAATAAAGTTCTTTCACTATCCTTCCCTTCTACATATGACCAATTTAAACTAAAAAAAACATTTACTTTGTATTCCAAAGGAACATAAAAAACATAATAAAAACATAAAAAAAGCATAAAAAAAACCAATGTCAATATTTAAATGTCAGAAATTTGTTTGTTATTGCTGATCTAAATCTAGATTGTTGCAGTACAAGCCTGTTTCTCTTCTTCAGTTAGAACCAATAAACAGGACTGTAAAAGTGGATACAGCTTATTAACCAAATATGTTTTGGCCTGACCAAATATAGGCATAAGGATTGACAAACGTTACTTATAACTGAGAAAAAAGAATTGTTCTTGAAACCAACAAACAACATCACAAAAAATATAAATAATGACAGATACCTTTTTACCTTTTTAAGCACGTCTCTTTTTGCCGACTGCCACTCTTCCCTTGCTGTCACAGTATGGCAATACATATAGAGTAGGGCTCCTCTTCTCCAATAAAGGCATTCTAGTAGTTCTGTTCCAAGGATATCAGAGTGCTGAAAGCAAAACATCACTAAATGAAGCAATTTTAATTTTCACATGGCTTACAAATTAAGAAAAAAAGAAATCAGCTGAGTTATAAATCAACACTTGTAACTCATAAAATTAAACATACAAAAATCCATTCTATACAATGGTAAAATAGGGATTACTCATTCTTCTTACTAAAATTTTTCTTACTAAAATATTAACAGTAAGTTCCCTTAGGGTAGTTTTTTTTCCAAACCAATTTGCCAATGAAATACTTTGGGTTTGAAATATGGTGGGAAAACCTACAAATGCTGGTGCAAGAAGTCTGAGAGAATGTATTATCACTGATCTAAAAGCAGGATCAGTAGATTTTAGTTTAAAGAGTCTCTTTTCATACAAGCCCCTTTCCCTATGAAATATTAATTGGGAAAATATCACTAGTATAAGCACTTTCTTATAGAACCATCATTTACAAAGAACAGCATGCCAATTGAGTGCAACAGTTGGAGAAACCTCCTTATGAATTTAAAATACACTTGTGTGTCATCAATTATACTCAACTTATACTCAAATTTTTAGGAACTCAGCTTTTGCCTAAAATATGGTGTATTACCATTGTATATTTATTCCAGTTCCACTAAATAAAGTAATGAAACAAACATCCAAAAAACTTGAATACAAAAACTTTTTTTTTTTAACAAATGAAACCAATTTTAAATGAAACTTGAGAGGCAGTATAGTTTAGTAGATAGAGCACTGGATTTGGCATCAGGAAGTCCTGGGTTCAAATTCAGCCTCAGACACTAGCTGTGTGACCTTGACAAATTCCTTAACCACTTCAGGTATTTCCTCTTCTATACAATATTCAAGAGCCTCTGAATTCCTTTCTAGCTCTAGATGCATGATTTTCTAATGATCTTTTGAAATATGAAATCTTGCTGTTTAAAAGAATCTATTATGAGCAGTCCTTTTATGATGGAACTTACAGTTTTCTGAGTTTAGGTTTTTATAACAGATGAATTTTGTTCAGGAATTTCTTAAAGTAGGACATTTCTATATTAGTTATAAAAAAAATTCAAATAAAGTAGTATCGAAAAGGAAAGAATATTGAATTTTGCAAAAAAAGAATACTCATGTTTCTAAAAATTAAGGCATTGTTCTAATGCCCTTTTATTGATCTAATATTCTAAAATGTATGTGTAAAATATAAAAATGAGGACCTTGCATAATCAGTTGTAACATAGCTTTCTTCTATTCTTTTTTTCTTAGCATTTTAGAGGTTTTTAAAATTTAACTAATTTTTTTTCCAGTTAACAAAACTTATTTCCTCTCCTCACTGCTACCCAATAATTAAAATCAATAAAAATAAAACTCCTACATATTCAATAATACATACTCAAGCCAAACAAATTCTTACATTGGATATGTCCAAAAATATATTTCTCACTTCATATTTTACGGCCGTCATCTTTCTAGTAAGAGGTGGACATAGTGCTTCAGCTTTGGTCCTGTGGAATCATGCTTTGTCACTGCACTGATACAGTTCTAAAATCTTTCATGTTGTTTTTTATCATTCCGTTGTCACTGTACAAATGGTTCTCCTAGTTCTGCTTACTTCACTCTCTACCAATTCATGGAAGTCTTCTAGGGGGCAACTGGGTGACACAGAGGACAAAGTTCTTGACCTGAAGTCAGCGAGTTCAAACTCTGCCTCAGACACTTTATAGCTGTGTGGCTCTGGGCAAGTCACCTAGCCTCTTTAAATCTCAGTTTCCTCATCTGTAAAATAAGGATATTAATAGCGTGTACCTTTCAAGGTTGTTATTAGAAATAAATTGAGATAATATATGTTTTATATCTGTCTATCTGTCTGTCTGTCTGTCTATCTATCTATCTATCTATATCCTCTGCAAACCTTAAAGCAGGATCTAAATGCTCCCCATATTATTATTTCCCAATTCTTCTGACACTATCCAGTTCTTCACATCTAATGGCTTAACAAACTTCAATTACATTCATATATCATACTTTCTTTAGTCATTCCCCAATAGGTGGTCATCCCCCTTAGTTTCCAGTTTTTTGCTATTACAAAAAGAGTGGCTATAAATATTTTTACACATGAGTCCTTTTCCTCCTTTGATCTCTCTGAGGTATAGGCCTAGTAGTGGTATTGCTAGGTTAAAGGGTATACACACTATAGTGACTCTTTGGGCAGTTTCAAATTTCTTCCAAAAATGATTACAGCGTTTCACAGCTCCATCAACAGTGTCTTATATCCCCAGACCTTCCAATATTTGCCATTTTCCTATTTTGTCATCTTTGCCAATTTGATGGGTGGGAGGTAGAATTTCAGAGTTGTTATAATGTTCATTTCTCTAATTATTAGTGATTTGGAACACTTTAATGGTTTTTTGATAGCCTGTATTTCTTCCTTTGAAAATTGCCTGTTCATATCCTTTGATCATTGTTCTACCAGGGAATGGCTCCTAGTCTTAAAAATTTCAATCAGTTCTTTACATATCATGGATAGGATACCTTTAGGAGAACAACTTGCTACAAAGATTTTTTCCCCATTACTTGTTCCCCTTCTAACTTCAATCGTACTGGTTTTGTTTGTTTAAAAAGATTTTCACGTTATGGAATCAAAATCATCCATTTTATATTCTGTAATCTTCTCTATTCTTTTTAGGGGAAGTAATGAACTTTCTGATCTCCAGATCAGAAAAGTAGTTTCTTCCTTGTTCCTGTAATTTCCTTATGATAGCACTTTTTTGTCTAAGTCATATATTGATTTGGAGCTTATCTTGGGGTGAAATGTTTGTTTAGACCTAATTTTTGCTACACTGATTTCCAGTTTTCCCAGTAATTTTTGTCAAATATCTCTCAGTAACTGGCTTCTATCCAACACTTTGCTACTGTGTTTGTTTGCTTTGGTATGCTGTGTACCTAATCTGTTCTGCTGACCAACCTCTCTAGATTTGAACTATTACCAAATCATTTTGATAAATATTGCTTTGTAGTATAATTTGAAATCTGATATGGTCTTCCTATTCAATCATTACTCAAGATAGGATACATATCATAAGGATAAGAATGATATAAGATTTAAGGATTATCCATGTTCCAATATAATCCAGAGCAGCTCTATACTCACTTTTGGATGCAGATTACTTTCTTTAACTACAACTTCTGGTTCTGAAAGAACAGTGATTAACTCCTTTACTTTCTGTAAAGAAGTGTCTTCTGGAAAATCTTCATCTACCAGTTTATTCTCTTCAAAATATGTCATGTCCAATATAGCCTGGAAAAGGGGAATGGGAGTAGGAAGGGAAGAGAAGGTATTTAAATAAGGTGTTCAAACCCAAAGGGATGACTTTTCTAAATGTCTGATACACAATATGAGCTGGTAACTGATGAGGAGAAACTGACTTAAGAGCTAAGGTATTAGGCAGAGTGGCAATGAAAAGAAAACACAGAAATAATTTTCCCCTGAAGCAGCTATGCAAGGTCTCTTTTGACCCTCCTGAGAAATGTTCCTATCATGTGTAAGCACTGGGAAAGATATGAACTCAAATGGTCCCTACATCCATGGACATTTAGTCTAATGAAGAATAGGACCCATATAAGTATCAACAGTATAAAGTAATACCTGAAAGTTACCAAAGAGGTTTTTATTCGAAGCTCTTCAACCTTTCAACATCTAACCTTTTCAGTGGTAGGCTAGAGATCCCCCAACCTTGCATGTTCATCCACAACTCTAAACTGCATAAGAAGGTATTAAGAAATAAGTAAGTGTCTGTGTGTGCCTTTGTACAACAAGACTGATTAAGTTTCTTAGTTAATGGTTCTCTTCTTTTTGTTGTGGTTCTCTCTAAATAAATCTTTGAAAACTGGAATTCTGCATCCATTGTTAATCTGTTGTAATCTCTTCCCCCTCTGGTCTCACTTTTCATAGGGTTCTAGACTTAGCATTGCAAGGAGTCTTAAAAGACTATTTAAGTCCAACTGGTCATATTAAAACCCAGAGTTCTTTCCTTTATACTCTCACACCATCTTGATTTGGGTAGTGTTAATTTTAATCTTCCTCTCCCCTCTTCTCTCTCTCCCTCTTTTTCTCTTTGTCTTTGTCTCTCTCTTTTTTTCTATCTCTGCCTCTCTTCTTTTCAGTAAAGGATCTGAATGTAAGGAGAAATGTAAAGTTCTAAATTTTAGTTAAGATTTGGACAGTTAGGTCTTTACTAAAACATTTAATCTGTGATTATTTTAGTTACTTAAAAATATTTTCAATTAAAATTGAAATATTTATATTTAGTTAATTACTGTATATCTTCCTGTTCATGCATACACAGGAGAGAACTGTTTCCACTTTCCCACTATCCATTTATTCCTCAATCCCTTGCAATCAGGCTTCCACTTTAGTGAAACTGCTACCAAAAAATAATTGGTGACTTCTTAATTGCTAAACCAATGGCCTTTGCTCAAGCTTCACCTCCTTGACCCTTATGTATATTTGGCCCCCCAAGTATCCCCAAATTCTGGATACTGTTTCTTCCCCTTGACTTGTATGGCACTCAATCTCATCTATCTAACCATTCCTTCTTGATCTCCCTTTATTGGTTCATTATCTTCCACTTCTGGCCAAAACACAGGTGCTCCCCCAAGGCTCTGTGCTGGGCTCTCTACTCTTGCTTTAAAAAAAAAATCAATACACATTCCTTTGACACAACAGTCACTTCTCAACACATACTATAAAATATATTCCTTAAAGACAATTAAACAATACTCCCAAATAGCATGATTGCTACCTATAAAGCATGTATCATTTTCCAACCAATAGAAGGAAAGATATATTTACCTACACCTCCAAACTTCCAAACCAAATGTTTCTTATTTCTGTTGTTGACACAACCACCCTCCTCCAGTCTCTGAAGCTTAAAACCTGAGACATCTTGGGCCTTCTCTACCCCATTACCTCTTGACTGGCCATGGGCTGGAGGACAGGCAGAGCCACCACAGGAGGGGGTGTTTGGGTGGGGGTATGGGCGTTTCTCTCCAATGTCAGCCATGAAAAATGAGTTTTCACAGAGAGATATGTGTATAAGTGTAATCACTACGCCTTGTCAACTCTGTCTCCACAGCTCTCCCATCTACACTCTTCTCTTATCACAAAACCACCACTCTATTTTAGGTCCTCATATTTCTCTTGTGGACTCTTTCAAGCATCTCCTAACTGATTTTGTTGCTTCCAGGTGTCATCCCACAGCTCTAACCTTTCTTTAATACAACTGCCAAAATAATCTTCTTAATACATGTCACTCCCCTGCTAAAATCATTCATTGGCTCTATTGCTTAAACCCCTTAGCCTAACATTTAAGGCCTTCTATTACCTGGCTTCAACATACCTCTCCAGTCTTATTTCAGATTCCTATTTCCAGCTAAATTGGAATACTACTGTTCCTTGAATTTGACAAGTTATCTCCATACTCTGGGTATTCCCACAGGCTGCCAAGTACACTACCTCACTTTCACCCTTTAGAATCCTGCCAGTTCCTCCAAAAAAGAGGGTTATCCCTTTAATTAAAAGTGTCCTTGCCATTGTCAAATTTTCTTGGAGCAATTTGTCTGGATCTCTCCTTCTCTCTTCCCACAAATATCACACCCTACCTTGTATTATATGTATTTGTGGACATATCAAATCCTTCCCATAGAATATAAACTCTTCGAGAGCAGAGAATTGTTTTATGGTTCATCTCCACTCTTCTAGTGCCTAACTCGGTATCCTATTAATAAATGATCGTTACTGAAATAGTGAGGGGAACTGAAACCATATCAGATGATGATTAATTGATGTCTTTAGATTGAAGCAGAGCATGGGATATGACAGATATGGAAAAAAGATAAAAATCATCTGCGTAGCTCCAAAAATAGAACCACTGAGTAGAAATTACAGGGAGACAAGCAAAGGCTCAATAACCACTTGTCAGTAATATTATAGAAAGTATTCCTGTATGAGAGAGCATCCTAATATTGTTTCTTGCTTTGTCAAAAAGACATGTTTTTTCAAAAAATCTTCAGCAAGTCACTTCTCTTGGGGTCTCAATTCCCTCATTTGTAAAATTAGGGGTTTGTACTAGATAACTACTAAGGTCCCCTTCAACCCTAAATCCTACGGTCATAGGATTTATTCATCTTTGAGGGGTTCTGATTCACAGTTCACAAATGAACTCCTGAAATTTAGGTATGCTGTCTCTGAGCAGCGTGCCACAAACAACTGGCCCAAGAAGTGACACATCATCTATGCTGGGGGTCTACATGGAGTTTCTATTCAAATCGCCATAGATTCACAGCTCTAAATTTCCCAGCCCTTTAAAAAAAGATGAAGGGGATTCAAATACTCAAATTTACAAAAAAAACAAACATTTTAACAAAAGATCAGTACAGATACTTTTTAAGGACAAATTTTCTGAAGAAAAAACTAAACTCCTTTGATAGAGTGTGTCTTCCCTTTCTGATCTTATTCCAATCCTAAACTTATATGCAAACCAATTAGAACGTTCCATAGTAAGTGACTCTAAAAGTTAAAATGTTATAAAAGCTTTTGAGTCATTTGCTCTCAATTCTAGGTATGGGCATTGTGGCTTTAGTATAATTTTAGGATACCTTCCACAGTCTGATTTTTAAGGTAATCTGCTTAAGTATCTCCCTGTCTTGCCATAAGGTTAAAACAAACACACAAACAAACAATTTTACTTTGTATAGAGGTATAGAATAATGCTGTTGAACAACTGGCCTCTAGCATTTGCTTACAGTGTGCCCTTGGTCAAATTACTTAAGCACTAAATGTTCATTTCCTCATTTGCAAAGGTAACCGTTGGCATACCTTATATGTTGAACTCTTGCAAATATTTCATTTGCTCTTCAAAACCCAGGTAGGCAGGCAGGTGAAGTATTATTTTATGAATAACAAAATAAATAAAAAGTAATCTGGGTGGGAACAGTGCCTCTCTGACCCTTCTCTATGCCTGAAATGTACTTCCTCCACATCTCTTCCTCACAGAATCCTTTTCTTTCTTCCCTTACACATCTTCTACATGAAGCCTTTCCTGATCTCCTTAACAGCCAGTGCTTTCTCTTTTAAACTTTCTTGAATTAACTTTGGATTTCTTCTCTTTATGTTTACTCTCTATACACTTATATATGTCCTTGTTGTCTCCTCAAATAGAACATAAGCTCCCAGCAAGTAGGACTGTTTCATTTACTACTAGGCATCCCCATCCCCCAAACCCCAGCCAATGTCTGGCACATAATTAGGTGACAAATAAATGGTTGCTGATTGACTGATTGATCAGAAAAGACCTCAGGTAGGGGTTGATATTTGAGCAGACTTGAATAGAGGTAGAAATGAGGAAGAACATTCTAGCAAGGTGTGAGATGGAATGTAATGTACAAGGAACAGAAAACAGAGGCCAGCTCAACTGGATGGAAAATTATGTGAGGGGGAGTGGTATAGAATATATCTAAGAAGTTAAGCTGGAGCCAAAATGTGAAAAGCTTTAAATACCAAACTGAGGACTCTGTACATTACTGGAGAGATACTGAAGCTTCTTTAAGAAGGAACAGAGGCAGGGCAGCTAGGTGGCACAGTGGATAGAGCAACGGCCCTGAGGTCAGGAGGACCTGAGTTCAAATCCGGCCTGAGAGCAAATACTTGACACTTACTAGCTGTGTGACCCTGAGCAAGTCACTTAACCCCAATTGCCTAAAAACAACAAAAAAAAGAAAAAAAAAAAAGAAGGAAGGGAGGCCAGGCCCTAAGCTTGGGCAGTTTTTTGGGACAAAGCCATCTCCAACCTTTCCCTCCCTCCACTCAGACTTGGTGTTTGAATTATATCAACACAAAATGCTACAAGTTATCCTTTTGTTCATTTGCCACATCAATCCTCACTTTCCCTAGCAACTACTTAACAAACTATCTCCATATAAAAAGAGCACTTTGACAAGCTAAATGAAACATACATTTTGACCAATTAACTAGCTTCATCACACACACACACACACACACACACACACACACACACACACACACACACACACCAGCTTCCGGTACAAAAAGTGTATTTCAACAAATTAATCTACCTGTGTGTAAAGCTTTATAAGAACTGATGGATTCATATTTTCTTCATCTTCTTTACAAAGGACTTTTAATTTCTCAAGAGAAGTAGCAGCCTGAACTAAAAATACATCTGTTAAGAAGAAATGAGTACAATGGTCATTCAGTACTTTTATCAAAACAATTTTTAAAAAATCCTGCTAATTATCTCCCTTTACTAACCCAAAAGTATTGTTTTATACTTTATCTTCTGTAATAGGTCTACCACCAGTCCCACCACATAATTTAAAGCCAATATTGGTAGCAAAACACTCAATACATTCCAAACTTTGCTTTTTCTTGTAGGTCTGGTTTTTTCTGCATAGTATTTTCCTTCATAGTATTGTCTCATTTTAAAATGTTTAATAATCATAATTAAATGTTCAACAGCATAGTAATGATAATATACATTTGAAGGTTTCAATTTAAAAGTATTAACTTTCTCTTAAAACTCAAACCATCTTCTGCCAGGCCATAGATGATCAAATAAAAAGCCTTACTGAATTTCCAGATTTTCTTAGGAGATGTATATAAATATTTACAAGCAGCACTTTTGTTGACTTCTTTTCCAGTTTTAATGTAAGCATTTTTCCTTCCATCAAAGTCTAGAAGAAACAAATTAGTAAAATGCCTTTGTGATGTCCTTCCCAATACAGGTATATTTTCACTCCATTCTACCCTTAATTTTTCTTTCCTTTCCCTAACTTAACGCTCCCTTACCTTGTTCCTTTTTTTCCTATCCTATCCTATATCCCTGTCCATTCATCCAAGGTTCCCAGAATGAAGAATAATAAATACTATTACATTTCTCTCATGGTAAATGATGACTGATAGGAGAAAGGCAAGAGTAAGTCCAGCAGCCAGTGGTTCCCATGTTATCTCTGGACATAAACAGTTACATTAATGATTTCTTTTGTTACACATTTTGACACCTTTGAAATATGTATTGTGCGATTAAAAATTGAAATAGAAAAACTTTTGGAAACACAGGAGAGTACAACATGAAATGCATTATTCCCAACACGAGTTGATGTAATATAGAAATGTGTAACAATTCTGAATAAAAACAATTTAGTACTGAACTTCTATTAATAGGAGCAATTTAGTACTGGACTTTGGAAAAACGTATAAATTCAAATAAAAAATCTAGAACTACATGAGAAAAGGATACAAAACCAAACTATGACAAATCATAATTAAATTAGAATGGTTAAGGTTAAATATATGATCAGTTGAAACACTTTTCAGCCTTCCTATAATAAAATGAAAAGAAAATTTTTTGTCCTGCTTTCTTTCAAATGATTTGATTTTCAGATTTGAAAAATATCACTGGGCAGACTATAGTAGCGAAACTAAACTGTTCTTCTTGATGTCAGTTATTGACTGTTGTTACTGAATTCAAGAATTAAGCATTTATTTGGTACTTAGTGGAGTGAGTTAGTCAGCATTATGAAGAGCTTATTACGTGCAAGGCACTCTGCTGAAGACTGAGAAAAGGCCATCAGTAAATAAAGGGGTTTAACTCAATCTCTAAAGTCTTTTCCAGCTCAATCTACAATCCATCAGGTCATAGCTTCTACCTAACCTGAGTCATCAGGACCACTCCCATTTAAAAACTAGTGGATTGGATGGGTTCATAGTATCTTAGATCTAAAGAAAAAGCATATTGGAAATGTTCTAGATCAGGGATTCCAGACATTTTTGGTGTCATGAACCCCAATGACAGTCTGGCAAATCCTAGAGACACCTTCTCAAAATGTTTTTAAATACACAAAAATATGTGTGTGTCTACATACATGTACACACACACACTGTTATGTGCATTGTTGTTGAATCATTTCAGTTGTGTTCGATTCTTCGTGCCCCACTTGGAGTTTTCTTGGCAAAGATATTAGAACGGTTTGCCATGTCCTTCTCCAGCTCATTTTACAGATGAGGAAACTGAGGAAAACAGGGTTAAGTGACTCACCCAGGGTCACAGGGCTAGTGTCTGAGGCCAGGTTTGAATTCAGGAGGACTCAAATTCCTGACTTCAGGCCCAGGACTATGCCACCTAGCTGCCCTATCTATATAGAATATGCATACATAAATATATAAATTTATGCATATTTATATAGATGAATATTTTATATACATTTATTTATATAGAATATACACAAAACTGACATAAAACACGTTTACATAACACATAAACATGTATAAATTATGTGCGTGCATATACATATGTGTGTGCATTTTATATACTGTATATGTATATATACAAATATACATGTATATACATACATGTGTATGTACATACACTGTTGGTGTCCTGCTGGAAGAGGACCAAATGACATCACTGTGTCAGTCAAGTTACACTGTCTCCCACCGTGGCTGATCAGACCAACATGAGTTTCAAAGGCTCCACACCACAGGTCCAACACAAACAGTCCCTATGAACATTTGGGATGAATTCTCTAAATATGCTCATTTCGCATACACACACATACTTATGGGAGAAACCAATTATAAAATTTTTTTTCCCATCAAGTCCCTGGCCTCCAGGTTCAGATCCCGTGATCTAAACCAACCCCTTCATTTGCGGCCCAGAACAGCGGCTTGCCCAAGGTCACATGACCAGCCCAGGCAGAGAGTTGGGACCTCGACGGGGCTTGCTTCACCGCCCACGGCCGAACCGTCGCCCCTCTCGGCCGGCTCCGGCGTCCTTCGGTTCCCCCCCAGCTTCATCCCCCTTTTCCGTTCCTCTCCCCTCCCCTGCCTCTCACCGTCTCCGCCGGCCGCTTCGCGGAGCGGCAGGAGGCGAACCAGGGCCCGATCCCCTCGTCCTCCCACCAGGCGGGCCACACTAGAGCCCTCCTTGACGGCCGCCATGACGCCCCCGAGGCTCGAAAGGGGCGCCCAGCAGGAGTCCGTCACGTGGCAGGGACGGCGACCAACGAGAGTCACCTGATCTGCGTGAGAGGGGGGAGGGAAGGGTATGGAGCGCCAGACCAGGGGAGGGGAAGGAGAAAGGAAAGCTTGGACCGAAGCCTACTGAAGGTCAAGCCCGCGGGTTCCGCCTCATTTCTTCCACTCCCTCCCCCCACCACGCAAGCCCACGGGACATCTCGAGACAGAACCGAGAGCGGAAGGGCGGAAACGCCGGACACGCCTTTCCCCCGCCCTCGCTTCTCCACCAATAGAAAGCCGTTTCCAGCCCCACCCTAATCCTGACCCTATCGGAAGGCAGCGATGGCAGAAACGAGGCCCGGAGGGAGCCGGGTAGCTGCTGCCTGGTGGGGGTGGGGTGGGGTGGGGCGGGAGATCTCGTGATCTGCGGCCAAAGCGTTGAGTTGTCCTGTGGCTCTGCGGGGAGTCTGCTGTGAGACTAGTACAAGTATGACTGGATAGTCAGAGATAGTTGGCCCTGTTCAGTCTCAATAATAGTCACGTTAATAATAATTGACATGTAGGGTTTTGAGGTTGCGAAGAGCCTTACCAACACTCTCTGATGATGATGAGGATCATGATGATGATCATGATGATGATAATGACGATAGTGATAGCTAGCATTTATATAGCACCTATTATGTTTCCAGGCACAGCAGCTCAGCACTTTAAAAATATTATCACCTTTGAGCTTCACACCAACCCTGGATGGTAGATGCTATTATTATCTTAATTTTACAGATGAGAAAACTGAGGCAAGCAAGTTAAGATAGTATCTGAGCTAATACCTGAGGTCATATTTGAACTCAGGTCTTCCTGAGCCCATCCATTGCCCAGCACTCTATCCACTGTACCACCCAGCTGTTAGGATCCTTATAACCCATCAGTGCTCAGGGCAGCACTCTTAAGTTTCAAAGCAGTTGTAGACTTAAATATGTAGTAATAATAATCATCATAATTATAATATAAAGTATTATAATACATGATTATATAAAATATAATTATCATTTTAGAGCTTTAAAGCACTATATATATATGATATCTCATGTGATCCTCAGGAGGAAAAAAGGAAGGAAACAAGGAGGCCTTTCAGGTCTATATCATACACTTCACAGATAGTCTTTTTTTTTTTAAGGGGTGGTCAATGCAGGGGTGGATGGGGTGGGGTCACACCCTAGATTTGACCTCAGAAGACCTAGTTCAATTTCAGCTCTGCCATTTATTAGGTGTGTGTGAATGTGTGTTGTATGTGTGATCTTGAGCAACCTTTCTGAGCCTCCTTTCCTCAACCTGTAAACCATATTGTCTAGATAAAAGTCCAGCTCTTAACTTATGATCTAAATTTAATTCAACAAATATTTTTCTAGTGCCAACTAGATGCAAGGCTGAAATGCTTTACAGTTTTTCCTTGTTTCTTGAATCAGACTGTAGGGGTCCGGGATAGTGTCTTATGCCTACCTTACAGGGTTGTTATTAAGAAAGGGCTTTACAAATCTTAAAAGTGTAATTACAAGTGTTAGTATTATTCTGCTTTTGTAATTGTGCAGCACCTGACACATAAGGCACTGAAGAATAAGCAGAAGCAATCGATAAATACTTGTTGATGACCAGAGTTTGAATCTAGCTCCTGGTACTTACTAGCTGTGTGACCTTGGACAAGTCACTTAACCTTTCTCATCCTCAGTTTCTTCATCTATTAAATAGGGATAATAGCACCTACTTGGCATCTAGGGGTTGAAGTGGATAGAGCACTGGTCCTGGAATCTGGGCAAGTCACTTAACCTCTGTCTTCTTCAGCTTCCTCAATTATAAAAAGAGAGTAATAATTGCACCTACCTTACAGGGTTGATAGGATCAAATGAGATAATATTTGTAAAGTGCTTAACACTTTAACCTAAGACACTATCCCAGACCCCTACAGTCTGATTCAAGAAACAAGGAAAAACTGTAAAGGCTTGCATCTAGTTGGCACTAGAAAAATATTTGTTGAATTAAATTTAGATCATAAGTTAAGAGCTGGACTTTTATCTAGACAATACGGTTTACAGATTAAGGAAAGGAGGCTCAGAAAGGTTGCTCAAGGTCACACATACACACGCATTCACACACACCTAATAAATGGCAGAGCTGAAATTGAACTAGGTCTTCTGAGGTCAAATCTAGGATGTGACCCCACCCCATCCACCCCTGCATTGACCACCCCTTAAAAAAAAAAGACTATCTGTGAAGTGTATGATATAGACCTGAAAGGCCTCTCTTTTTCCTTTCCTTTTTTTCCCTTCTCCTGCCCCTTTACCCTTTTGCCCAAAGCTGTTTCTTCTACAGCTATCCAAAACCCTTCTTTTCTGTGTGTGCTCCTGTGAAACCTCCTTTTAGTCCTCGAATAAAATAGCCAGAGGTCAGACCATTCCCTCCTGCCCAGGAATTGCACAAATGTCTCCCTAATGGTGAGAACAGCCAGAACCAGTATCACTTACAGTGCTGGGGTTTGCTTGGCTTTCGTAGCTGTTGTTTATATCAGACACTGTCAAGTTAAAATACTAAAGGGGTTATTCCTTGTATGTGTATTCCTGATGAAGACACAGTGTGTTACAAGGGAAAGAGCACTGGGTTTGGAGTCAGAGGACCTCAGGTTCAGATGCTGGCTCTGCTGCTTGCTACCTGTGTGACTCTGGGCAAGTTACTTGACCTCTCTGGGCCTCAACTTTCTTCTCATGCAAAATGAGAGGGCTGACCTGGATGCTCTCCGAAGTTTCTTCCTGCTCTAAATATATGATTCTGTAACTACCATTTCTTTAACCCCATGGCAAGTACCAGGGAGAGGAACAAGCACTCATTAAGCACCTACTATGTGCCAAGCTCTTTGCTAAGGTCTTTACAGATAGCCTTTCATTTGATCTCATTTCACATGCTGCTGGACTCTCAATTTCCTCCTTTCCCCTCTCCATTTTAAAGATCTTTCTTGAAGTACACCCACCACATCTACCAATGTATTGAGGCTTTTCACTGAGAACTCTCCCTTCTCCCCTCCTCCTAATTTCACATCACCTGGATCTCTTCTGACAGTCTCTTCCTTCACCTGTCCTATCGGAAGAATCAGCCTTTTTTACCAAGGCAAGCCCCTCAATATGTACCAGTGTTTTCATCCCATCCCATCTTCTGCAGCAGATTGTCCCCTCCATCTTCTCTATCTTCTCACTTACCTTCAATCTCTCCTTACCTATTGGTTCTTCCCTATTGCCTACAAATATGCCCATGTTTCTCTTGTCCTCAAAAAAACCCTCATTTGATCCATCCATCCCCACTAGCTAGTGGTTCATATATCTTCTCCTTTTTTCTATCTAAACTCTTTGAGTGAGCCATCTATAAAACCTGTCTCAACTTCTTTTCCATTCCACTTCTTCTTAACCCTCTATAGTCTGGCTTCCTACTTCATTATTCAACTGAAACTACTCTCTCCAAAGTGACCAATGGCCTTTTTTAAGTCTTTATCCTTCTTGGCCTCCTTACAGCCTTTGACACTATGGGTAGCCGTCTTCTCCTTGAAACCCTTTTCTCTCTAAGTTTTCATGAAACTACTCTATCCTGGGTCTCCTCCCATTTGTCTGACTATTCCTTGTCAATGTGTTTTGCTGCATCTCCCTCCAGGTCATGCCCACTAACCATAGATGTCCCACAGGGCTGTACTAGGCTCTTCTTTTCCATCAATACTATTTTACTTGGTGATCTTATCAACTCCCATCATTTTAATTATCATGTCTATACTGATAATTCTCAAATCTATCTCTCTAGCCCTACCTTCTCTGCTAACTGGTCTTGCATCTCTAAGTCCCTATTAAATCTCTCTTAACATATTCAAAACTGAGCTCATTATTTTTATTCCAATATCCTTTCACCTTGGAACTTCCCTATTAATGTCAAGGGCGCCACCGGCCTCGCATTCCTCCAGGCTCATAATTTAGGTGTCATCCTTGAATCTTCATTCTCTCTCTCTCTCTTTCTCTCTCTCTCTCTCCCTCTCTCTCACCCTATGTACCCAGTCTTTGCCAAGGCCTATCTATTTTACCTTCATAATATCTCTTATATACTCCTCTGACACTGGTACCAGCCTAATGTGGGCCTCATCACCTCATGCGTAGACTACTGCAATATTATCTTGGTTGATCTACCAGATACAAGTCTCTCCCTACTCAAGTCCATTCTCCATTCAGCTGTCAAAGTGATCTTCTTAAAGTTCAAGTCTTACCATAATGCCCCCCTATTCAATAAACTCCAATGACTCTCTATTACTTCCAGTATCAAATATAAAATCCTCTGTTTTTCATTCAGAGTCCTTCACAACCTTTTCAGACCTCCTTAGGTTTCTCTACAGCCTCCCAAGTAGGGTTTCTCAACAATCTTTTCAGGTTAAGAACCCCTGCACCAGAGGGACCCTTTAGTAGCTAAAGAATCATATGGATGTACTTTCAGAGTCTTTTCATTTCAAACAAAGTTATCACAAACCAACATTCAGTCAAGAAAATTAATACCTTCCCTATAATACTTTCTAAAAATTCAAGTAAGATCCAATAAGCCATTTTTCCATCACATTCCATCCCACCTTGCAGTGGCATAGAACAATCCAATGGGCTGAGTATACATATTCATTTGTGAAAAAGTTAAAGAATAGCATCTTAGTAATTTGTTTTGAATACCGTGTAGTATTAACATTCTTTTTCTCCCTTAACCTTCTCTGAGGACTAAAAGGAGGTTTCACAGGAGCACACACAGAAATGCAGGGTTTTGGATAGCTGTAGAGGAAACAGATATGGCCAAAAGGAAAAGGGGGCAGGAGGAGGGAAAAAGGGAAGGGAAAAAGAGAGACCTCTTAGGTTTGTATCATACACTTCATTGGACAGTCTTTTGTTTTTTTTTTTAAGAGGGGTGGTCAATGGAGGGAAAAAACCCACCCTAGATTTGGCATAAGAATACCTGGTTCAATACCAACTCTACCATTTACTCCCTGTATGTGTGACCTTGAGTAACCTTTCTGGGTCTCCTTTTCCTTAATCTGTAAAATAGATTAGCTAGACCAGATGGACTCTAAGGACCTCTCCCCCCTTAACTTCTGATTTAAATTTAATTCAACAAATGTTGGGTTGTTTTTTTTAATGCCAACTAGATGCAAGGCTAGAATGCACCAGTGCATTTAT